CCCCCCCCCCCATGCTGTAACACATAGATGTGACAGGAGTTTTGCTTTCAAGAATTTGGGGTGCGGTTCCCCCCATACCCCTGCACCAATCTTCTTGAAACATGGCAGGCTTCATGCTCTCTGCAGAGTCTACCACCCCAGAAAGTGTCATCCAAATTGGACAAAAAACAACAAAGTTATAGATATTGTATTGTTTCCCCATTATACCCTATGGCCAGATCTCTGAGGCGGCTCTGGGGCGGCTCCAAAGCACTTCGGAAGCTCCAAACTGCTTCGGAAAGCCGAACAAAGCCAGTGCTTTGACCCAGACATGCTGCTTTGCACCCCCAAGCATCCGAAGCTTCTCCATATCCGAAGCTCTGTCCAAAGTCTTGCACAGCCCTAGCAGCCAGTATATATTTGTTAAGAATAAATTATGCCAAACCAATTGATCTCCTTCTTTCACAGAGTAATTAGTCAGGTGGATAACTACTTGGGTAGATGGGAGGAATGCTGAGGACATAGTGTACTGGGACTTTCTTAAGGCTTTTGACAAAGTTCCATATGACCTTCTCATTAGTAAATTGGAAAAATGTGGGCTAGATAGAATCGCTACAAGATGGATACGTAATTGGTTCAATGACCATAAGCAAAGGGTACTTATAATGGGTCAGTGTCAGATTGGAAGGAGGTTTTGTGTGACATTCCATAGGGGTCTGTCTTGCATACAATGCTATTTAAATGTTTATTAATTATTTGGAAAATAATAATATGCTGGAAAAAAGACCTTCCTTAGCAAATTTGCTCATGATATGAAACTGGGAAGGACTGCAGTCAAAACAGGGGTTAAGAGGAGTATTCAGTTGGCTTTGTGGATCTCCACAAGCTTCCTGGATTTAGCAGCTTAGGAGAGAGGCTGCTCCTTATCCTTAGGGGAAGGACCTCCCTTCTGTGGTCTGTTGCTATGCAGAGTTTCTTTCCATCTTCTGTGGTGTATTTAGTCCCAAAGCAAAGCAAGATGTTTCATGTCAGAATCTTACTTAGAAAAGCCTTTCCCGTGTCCTGTACCAGCTTTAGGTCCTGAGCTCTGCAAATAGAAGGCCAGGTAGATATGTACCTTATAGACTAACTAAATAAGATATATAGAGATCATCACAAGCTTTTGTGAACTTGAGTGCAAATAGGTAAGAAATTTGAATTCATCCAGCAATATTCATGGCAGGCAGAAGCTGTGGGAAGGTATCTCTGCTTTTAGTCCCCAGATCTTGAGATTTGTCTGGGAAAGCTTTATAAGAGGTGAACATTATCTTCACTCCTCAGCATTTCCCTGTATAAGTATTTTCTGAATAATATTTAGATCAAGAAATATATTAAAATGTATCCAGCATAAAACCCCCCAGACAAACCCAAAATAGACCCTTGGGGCAGGTGAACTTCAATTCTGACTCTTTCACCGTAGGCTCGGAACTACCTGAACCCAGAAGATATTCTGAAAGGAGAAACAGAAGAAAGTCTGGGTAAAGTGCAGGAGGTGCTTGGCATATTGAACCACTTCAAGCAGACATTTGAGGAACGAAGAGAAAATCTCTACATATACTTTAAACCTGACCAAGAGATGAAAGAATGGGACTTTCAGTCTCTCTTAGTTTTTGCAAGATTGGATGGTTTTCTAAGAAGACTTAAGATTGTAGAGGTAATAATTTGATCTAGAAATATGGAGTAAAACTGATAGAAAATACTGCAAATGTAAGTCTACTGGGGGTGGAATTAATTCTACATCTGTTTGTGCACCTAAATGGTAGTTTTCTAGCTGCATACCTGGACACTTGGCACTACTTCTTCACTGTAGGCTGAGCATGTGCAGTAGCTTATGCACTGGTCATGCACGTAGGCATGTACTGAACATAAGTCTGGTAAAGGAGTATGAACCTAAGTCTGGGAAAAGGAACAAGACACTCCCCCGCAGTGTTTTAGTTCCTCTCTGAATAGTTATGGAATTGTACCTGGAAGTGGGAGGCCTGGGTTCTAAGCCCTCTCATCCAGAAGGGGGTTGAACTTAAAACTCACTTCCCAATAGTGTACTCTTTCCACTGTGCCACAGCTTAGGCATTATAATGGCCTTTCTCCAGTGGTAAGGCCTTTCCCCAGAAGATAAGGCTACTGCACAATCCATATTTTAGTCACTGACTGAAATGGAGAGTGGGAATGTTATTGCAATATTAGGAGCAAAATAGAACCCAGGGTTGCTTCTTTCCAGTACAATGAGTATATCAGAGCTACATATCCTTTAGCTTTCTCTTATCCTGTTGGCCCCACATATTTTCCTCTCCTGTGTGCCTGTGGGGCCAGCTTCTAATTAGCATGTGCTAACTCTAAAGAATGCTAGGCTATGTTAAAGTTAACACATATTGTGAATGCTATAAAATGGCAAACCAGCCATAAAAATGTTCTACATGTAACACAGAACATTTTAATGGCTGGTTCTTATGACATCTTAAATTAAATGTATGATAGCTTTGGGCTTGAGGCTGATAGTCAGTTTCAGCCACAGGACTGTACTGGGGTCTTGAGCTGGCCCTGGTGTGGTCCTGGGGATCAGAGCTGGTCCCAGACCAAGCCCCGGACCAAGTTGAAATGATCTTTCAATTTTCTGGCGCAAGGGAGCCCTGGATCATAATCCCGGGCTCCTCCTGGACTAGCAAGTAGAAAGGGTGCAGCTGGGAACTGGGCCCCAGTCCCAAAATTGTGCCACCTGCCATACATGAATGGCATGACAGGCGTGATTGTTGATCAGATTCCATGGCACCTTTAAGTGAATGTGTGTCAGGGGACCTATTTAGAGATTACTATACAACATCTAGGCTTAAAGTTAAAATCCAATAAAAGACTTAGGTGCCTAAAGCAGGAATGTGGCAAATTCAAAAGCTGTGATCTGGAAAACCTCTGTGTAGCAGGGCACTAGGGTGCCTGCTACTGGTATTAGTAATAGGGGCCAAGCTGCCAATTACTGGGGCAGCAGGTGAGAGTTGCCATGGCAGCTGATTGGGTCAGCTGACTGCCGGGGCAGGGCTTATATAAACAGCCAGGCCGAAGCCTAGCTGGCAGTTACTATCTAGCAGTCTGAGGAATGAGAGCTTTGCTGCTGAGCCAAGCCTAGTGGAGCAGCCTAACCACTCAAAGGGCTGCAGTATGGCAAGGGGAGAGAGAGCCCTGATTGAGAGACCTTACAGGAGAGCCAGGTGGGCCTACATTCTGTGTTAGAGCCGGTAGGCTGATTTTGAGTTGCAGCTGGTGGGCTCAGGGCTTTAGGTTTATCGTTGGGTTTGATGTTATACTGGAGGACTGGGTGAGGCTGTAGGGGTGCGAGGAGGCCTCATGGGAGCTCCCCAGTAGTTTGGGGGTTCCTGGTGCCCAGTAGGGGCACAACAAGTGGCGCTAGCGAGGGCACAACAATTGGTGCCACAGCTGGTGCGGCGCGAGAGCGCCGGAGAAGCGGTGTGTGGGGTTGAGACCCCAGCCCGTGAGGGTGGTATTTTGCCCAGTAAGGCGAAGGACCCCTGAGAAGGGTGAAGCGGCCAGGCACGGCTACAGGCCACCTGAGCCCCGAGCGCGAGAGGCGCGGGACAGGCCCCAGAGAGGGCAAGGAGCGCGAGAGGTGCGGGACAAGCCCCAGAGAGGGTGAGGAGCAAGGCTTAGCGGGGCAAAAGCAGGAAGAGCACGAGGCATAAACCCAAAGGGGGAAAGTCCCTTAGGAAGCCTGAGATGGGGCTTCCCCCGAGGCTCGCCCTATAAAGGGGTGAGGGCCAGTGTAAGAGCCCAGAGTAGGGCGAGCGCGCTGGTAGAGGCCTGAGGAGGGCAGGGCGCGCGGTTCAGAGCCCGAAGAGGGTGATTACACAAGCAGAAGCCCTAAGAAAGGGCGAGGCAGGACGGAGCCTGGAGAGGGCAGGGCATGCGGGACAGAGCCCAGAGGGGGTGCGTGTATTGAAGGGCCCGGGAGGGGGCCACCACGCTGACATAAGAACGTCCGGGACAACTGTGAGGCTTGGGGCATGCTACAAGGGAGGCAGGAGACACGTGCGCCCCATAAGGCTGGGGCGCACCATATCGCTGGTGAACAGGGGCCAGTACAAAGATAAGACCGTGCACAAGGGGGTTTGAAGGCAGCCTCCCATTTGATACTTGTAAGATCAAAGACGTGGCGGGCAAGACAGAGGGTGCGTTTAGGGCCCAGACTTGGCATGATAGGGGCGCCAGGGGATCACGGCTGCCCCTGTGCCCTGCCCTGTGACACTCTGATAATAGAAATTAAGGGCTGGAAGGGACTTCAAAAGATCATCGAGTACAACCCCCCTGCTCTGGGCAGGAATACTACTGAGATCAAATGATCCCAGCAGGGTGTCTGTCCAGTCTTCTCTTGAAGACTTCCAAGACTGGGGACTGCACCATCTTGGAAAGTCTGTTCCAGATTCTGGTCACCCTAACCATAAAGAAATTCTTCCTTACATCCAACCTGAAACCATCCTGTAACAATTTATGGCCATTGCTCCTTGCCCTCCCATGGGTGCTCTGGTGAACAGTTTTTCTCCCAGCTCCTGATATTCATCCTTGCATATTTACAGATGGCTACCAACTCCCCCCTCAATCTTCTCTTCCCCAAGCTGGAGAGTCCCAGATCCTTTCCTCATAAGGTTTGTCCTCTAGGCCCTTAATCATTTTGAGGCCCTTCTCTGGACCCTTTTAATATTCTCCATGCCTTTTCTGAAGTGTGATGCCCAGTGCTCCAGCTGGGGTCTCACCAACACCGAGTAAGAGGGAAGTATCACTTCCTTAGCCCTGCTCACTGCGTATCGGCTAATGCGTATCAGTATGCTATTAGCCCTGTTGACTACAGCGTTGCACTGGCAGCTTAGGATCATCCTGTGATCAACTATAGCCCCGAGGTCCCTTTCAGCCAGTATGCTGGCTAAGCCATCCCCTCCTAACCTATATTCATGTCTCTGGTTACTTTTCCCCAGATGAGGCACTCTGCACTTATCCTCATTGGGTTCACTGTGGGGGTTGTTCCACTAACTGTCCTAAGAGGATACCTAATACCCACAAACAAACTGCATTTGGAGTCACTTTTTGTAAAACTTGGCCAGGATTGGGGGAAGACATACTGCTGCCTATATTGTGCATCACCACCTAGTAGTTAGAGCTCTTATCCTTAATGAATGCAAGATTCATGAAGCTAGGGGGAGAGAATGAGAAAGGGAAGATATGACTGTAAAGTCAGAAGGAGGAAAGAGTTCTCAGTTCTGTTTCCCGCTCCCAGGACTGTTAGCAGCTTATCCAGTGAATACTGTATGTAAGTACACAAAAAGATCTGGGAACAGAGACATAATTACAAAACTCATAATTGCATAATTAATTATCAATATTCTTAAAACTCTAGCTACTTCAGTCACTTGGTACAGAGTTCTGTGTGCTAATAACACTTTTGTGGGGGATGGGAGATATTAGTTTGAGCCCCTGCTAGGATGTAGAGGACATTGAACCTGGGTCTTCCACTTAGTGCTTTATGAGGTTATTTACAGAAAGGGGATAGAAACCCTACCTTCTTGTCTTGCAACAAAGCAGTGTGTATTTGTCAGGGGTCCTAATAGGCAGCTCAGCCACAACTAATTGCTTTTCTCCAGTATGGCAAACCTGCCTGAAGCTCTAGCTGGCAGCCCCACCCTGGCTGATGAATTGAATGGCCACTGGTAGGGGTTCTTGACTGGCTGCTGGGGACAGCAGATACCCTCCATTTAAGTCCAGCTGTGGCAGCAGACTGCTGGCCAACTTATGGTTCTGCCTGAAGGTGTGATGTGATAAACCTCTCTGTATCCTCTGCATTCTGGTGCTCTGGCTTTTCACCCTGCTCAGCTCTGTGTCTGGACTCTGGCTTTTGGGAACTCCACTCAACTTTGGTAATTTGGTCCCCAACTCAGCCTGTGTATTGGCCTCTGCCTCTGGTTTTCTCCTTTGGATCTGGTAGTTTGGTCCCTAATTCTAGACCCCTGACTCAGCCCATAATTTGGACTCCACCCTTGTTCCTGTCCTTTCCCAGTGGCCTAACCACTAGGCAAGACTGCCTTTGACTTGGTCCTTACAGCATCATTCAGTTTTTGGAAAGAACAGTTGTAGGCACTTATCCTCAGGATGAGATTCTAGGCTCTGGAGGATCCAAAGGGATAGAGGTTCCTGGATCCTTTATTTGGGTACCCAAATTCTGGAGAGGGATGGGACTGTGGACATATCCCCACCTGGAATATCTCCTTTAGCTAATTCTAGGAAGCTTCCTACTTGATGTGCAAGTTTTCATATTATCATTCTGAGGCAACAGACTTTATCCATGCACTGTATAGGGAGATAGGTGCCTCACACAGGGTTCTGGATTCCACTCTGAGGCTACGCACCTAAAAGTTAGACATTTACAGCGCCTAACTTATTGGTTGCTAAGTCCATTATTGGATTTAGCCTAAGGCGCTATCTATACTACTTCCATGTTGCTCTTGGGACAGCCCCAAAAATCACAACTAACCCAATGACTCCTATTCCACTTGTGTCAAATCCAAGAATGAACCAGTGAATGTCAGAACCTTAGGTCCAAATTTCTGCTCTTGAAAATGCCAGATTTTCTGCTGCCTAATCTGAAGAAGTCTACATTTTGTAGGAGCAAGATTTTTTTTTTAAGCTTAGAATACTGCTTTCTTGTATGTCCAGAAACACCTTAGTCTTGCTCAGGACTGAGCAGCTTGGCACCTACTTCATGCTTTAGCCTGACTGGGATCCCTAACTAAAGAATTCTTCTGTTTTTTGTGAGGGTTTTCATCTGATATGTGTGCTTAGAGATCATCTAATGGATTGGTCTCCATTCAAAGTACAAAGATGGCCATCATTTTTTTTTTTGAGGAAAAAGTCTCTGGAAGAAAAGGTGGTACTGATGCCACTTTTCACTTATTATGCAAGAACCTCATGCTTAGCCCCATGCCCCATGCAAGAACAGGTTCATTTTTTCTTCTACCTGAGGGGCTTTAAACCCAAATCCCCTCCCTCTTCTCAAGTACCCTAACCACCAGTTTATTGGTTGTTTTGAGGCAGTGTGCTTTACACCATCCTGTAGAAGTTACTGCACTGTGTATAAAATAAGTAAGGTTCCTTGGATCTAAAATCAGGAGAAAGAGAGTGAGCCTAATTCTAACCTAATGGTTAAAATGTGCATCAAGGTGGGGAGGAGCCCTTGGTTCCAGTCCTTGCTCCAAGGGCTAATTTAGTAGTATTTTATATGAAGAATACTTAAATACTATATTTATCTGAATCCAAGATGACCTTGAATTTAAAAGCAACCCTTTTCCCCCAGTTAGATTCTCTACATGGAAAACAAACATACATTTGCTATAGTTTTCTATGTAGAGAATCTAATTATTGGGGGGGGCCATTATTTTCATCCTCCCATCCCTGCTGCAAAGGGGAAGGCAGTAAGGAGCAGTTGCTGTAGGGAAGTCAAGCAGCTTGCCCCCTGTTTGTGCCGTCTCCCTTCCCACCTCTGCTGTCTGCCCCTTCCCCACTTCCCCTCCAGCCTCTGCTTCTTGCTTTCCTCCTCCCCTTCCCTTACTCTTGCTTTGTGCCAGCAGGCTCCATCCTCATTCTAGTTTGGGGCATGGAGTACAGCCCCATCCCAGCCCCCTGTAGCAGCCTTGTGGGTTGTGCACTGCTGCTTTGGGGCCAGGCTGGGGCTATGCTATTGTAGCCTCAGGCTACAGCGTGGATAGGGCCTGCAGGTAGAGCAAGGATATGTGGAAAGGTAGAGAGAGGCAGGTGGGGAGCAGAAGCTGCATGGCAGGGGGAGATGGCAGGGTGCAGAGGCAGTTGGCGGGTGCTGGGAGAGGCAGCTACTGCTATGGCCCTGATCCTGGGTAGGGGCTGAATCCAAGCCAGAGCAATCGACTGCCTCCCCCACTACCCTCATACTTGATTCTAAGATAAGGTGTTTCTTCCCATGTTAAGTGAGGGGGTGGGGGGGAAGCCCTCATCTTAGAATCAAACAAATATGGTAGCATTCTTAAACTTCTCAAGCATGTTGAATGGGTAAAATCTCATGCTGAAAAACTTTTCTTGAATTTTTTAGAAAGATCACATGACTAAGTGATGTTCTGGATTTCCCACCAGGCATTTCAGGTAGAAATGCTCCTATACTACTCAGCTCTGCAAACCTTCTGTCCTTTTTTGGATCTAAGCTGTAGGTATCTAGGAGCATAAATTTGACTGACTTCCAATGAGACTTAACTTTCTAAGGGTCCAATTTTAAAGGTCTTTAGTGGCCTAAAGAGTCAGGACCTTGATTCTTGAAAATTCCATTGGGCTTCTATTTGTATCTTTCAACAAGTAAATAGATTAAATATGGCTTTACAGTTAGCACAACCCTTTTAGGAGTGAGGTCTCAAAAATTAGGAGAATAAAAACTATTCGTCTGTTGCTCATCCTTCAAGAACAAGAGTAAGTAAACTGCTGGAGCAAAAAACATCTGAAGAATGATGAGATATGAGTATGGGCTAATAGGCTGCAGAGCCAACATGAATTGCAGACTGCTTGTGCCAAGGATAGCCCAACTTCAGTGCTTATCAGGCACTGAATGTGCTGATAGTTTGTCAGGAGTCAAGGATGCTGTCAACATGGTTTCACAGTATGAAACTACTTTGTTAGGAAAACTGTTGTCAGCATCTTTTATTAACATATTAACTGGTTCCTTTTGTTAATTGACTCCAAAGGATCTCCTAGCAACTGCCTTGGACATAATGAAGCTGGAAAAGATAGAGTTCAGCGGGATAAAAGGGAAGGCTCTAAGCCAGCAAGTCTCGAGCATGTATGAAGAGTTCCAGGAAGTGTATAAAGTATTGTCAGACCGTAGCTACGATTGCCTTGACACGACAAACTTGGTAGGTGTACTGGACTCCAAGACAACCAAGTATGAGTAAAAGCTTTCAACTTCTGAAAAATCCCAGGTCTACTAGAAAATTTATAGCTCTGTTTTCAACCTCTTTGTCGATCAATATGTCATTTTCTGGTTTGTTTGTTTGTTTTCATCCCCAATTAGAAAAATGTTTGGTTTTGTCAGATTACATAAATCTGGTTTCTGAGTGTACATCTGCTCTGCATTTCATACCTAAATTGGCTTTAACTTAACTAGCTTGGAGGTCAACAACAGGGCAGCTGTAGCATCACAGATTTGTTGAGGGATGTATAAGCCTTCTTGGGAACATTTTAATACACTGACAGTAAAATCAAGGAAAGTATTCCACATACTCCTCGTATCACAGACTTTGTACACAGATTGATGCACTCATAGCTCCCACTAATATCTAAAGCTCAAGCCAGTACTTACATGATCATTCATTATCTGGTAAATCAGCATTCAAGAGCCATTGTAGGCATCAGTGTTAGGTTTTATTTAGAGATTTTATTCCTTAGACCTTTTTTGCTATGTAATGTAGTCCACCTGTCAACATTTTATTAACACAGCAAAGGTCTAAATTATATTTTTAAAAGATATATATTGTCCATGGTTATATGTAATATAAAGGGAATTTCTGATTTATCCTACTTTTCACCATTTACCTAACCTGGAGATTGCCTTCACTGACTAATTTGTAGTTTGCTGGTCTGTGGCAGCTTCTTAGTGGCACTCTTAATTCTGGCCAAATATACGAAGCTTACACAGCTACCATGGTGGTGATCAGTGGTATTGAACAAGGGCATAAGTATTCTCCGAGATCATCTTTCTCAGTCAGAAAATAAATCAACAACTTACCCTCCACCTGGACACAAGAAGACAAGTTAATACCAATGAATAAGCATGAATGGCAGGAGACATACTAGTTAATAAGCAAGTTGCTACATCTGTACCAGTTTTACTTGGACTGATTTATTTAAGGTATAGCTGCATAGAGAAAATATATGGATGTCTAAACTGGAGGGTGTGACAGGAGATAGTAACACCAAGCATCTCACGTGTCTGCCCCCTCTTCCCTTCCCCTCCCCTCCCCTCCTAGTGTTTCCAAACTGCTTCCCTGTATCTGATGTTCCATGCCTTGATGAAACACCCTATTTTGCAGGAAGCATCCCAATCCTTAGTATGGTTTCCCTTGAGTCACTTGGTTTCACCCTCTTTATATTTGTCTAGGCCCTGGACCTCTTGGCCCAGGCCTGCTTGCTCTAGCTACTACTTTCAGCACTAGGCCCACTTAATTTCAGCCTTAGCTTCTCAGTAGCAAAGGCACAGCAGGGGATTAGGCTATACAGTTGGGGCTCTGGGCCCTCCTGATACTCCAGCCTTGAAGGGGTGAATGAGAGAGAGAGAGAGAGACCCCTTTTACCAACAGAGAGTTAACCTCACAAAGCAATTTAAGGCACCTGCATGCAGCTACTTCTCAGGACAGAACTCCTGGCTGTTGCAGCAGCCTTTTTCCTTAGGCCATAAATACAGGGCCAGCAAGACTGGCAAGGATCGTCTTCTTACAGTAGCAGGGCAAGTGTTCCCTGTTACAGAGAGGACACAAGTTTGATCACTAAATCTTACATTTAATAAGTTCAAGTGACACAGTGAATAAAGAAGGGTAGGATGGCTATAGCAAGAGGCACAATGACCACTGTCTGTGGTAATTACTTTCTTCGCAGGTAATTGGAGATTACATAGGAAATAGTTAAGGTTGTCTGGAAACTTTGAAACTGGTGTTTGTTGTCTTTCCTGTACTTCAGCTATTGTAGTTAGCAAATTTACTAATTTTGGATGGTTATTGTATGAAATTATATTGTGCTTTACTCGAGTAAAAATAACAGGCATCTGTCCTGGGTATTTATAAAAGGAACTATCCAACTTGGTGACTAGGCAAATGAGGTAATAGTTGCAATCCTGTAAGTCATTGGTTATGTTTTGCCTTCTGTAGTCCACACTGTTAGTGTGCCTGTGCTGTGTGAGAGATCTCCTGTGTTTTAAGTGTTCTTTATAAAGTATACAAATTAGTACTTTTCCAAACAACTTGTCCACATGAAGGAATTTGGCAAAAAATGGTTACTAATATAATAGGCAGAAATTGCTCTGACACGGATGCTGAGCAGTCTTTTCTGATTTCAGGCCTCTTGCATGATGTTTTAATCTGATTTATTCATTTAATAGTTTAAAATTCGAGTCCTACTCTTAGTGTAAAAGTTTCCCATGTTTGTGAGAAAACCGTTATCTTAGGCTCCACTGAAATGCAATAATAATAACATAACAATTACATACCACTCGGCATCTTTTTAGATGACTGTTATGTAACTTTAGTAGCTTTATCTCCATTCTGCAGCTTGAAATTTGACTGTATGCCAAGTCAAATTTTAGTTCAAAACTATTTTACCTTTAAAAAATACAAACCTCAAACTTAGTTTTCATTCTTAAATTTTTAAGTTTTCTTTTTAACCTTCAGTAAGAAAAGAATGCAAAGTGACTCAATATTGTCACATTTTCAGTAAGTTTTTGATGAAAACCACAACATGAATTTGGTTTAAAGTACTGTATTTTCTTGCATACCACATGCCTCTTGTTTTTGGAAGCTGGAATGAAGAAAAAATATCTTTCCTTGAAAATACCAGTAAATATGGTATTTCTGGAGGGAAAATGCAAGCAATCTCAGTAGGGTGTAAGCCAAAGCCAGTCACTGCTCTGTTAACTGGGAGGTGCCCACCCAGGTTGAGAAGTGGGGATAGATGGCTCAACTGCAGAATCACAGCCTCAGCTGATGTCACTGGCTGAGCCAGACTTCCCAGCCCTGCTTCTCAGGCCAGGTGGTCAGTCACAAGTTAGCTGAGGACCCAGTCCTACAAGAGCTGAACTGTTCAGCCCCACTTTTCAAGCTGGGTGGTCAGCCAGTGGTGCCTGCCAAGTCAGCTGAAGGCCCACCCCATTTGAGAAGCAGAGTTGGCCAGTTTGGCTCCAGCAGGATTATGCCCTCAGGTGATGTTGCTGACTGAACCAAACTGTCTCAAGCTGTGCGAGTCCTCAGCTGACTTGGCAGGTGTTAATGGCTGCCCACTTGGCTTAAGAAGTGGGGCCAAGCAGTTTAGCTTTGGTAGAATTGGTCCCTCTGTTCCTCACATTTTTTCATTTAAGACATGCACCCAATTCTTAGCAGCCAGGTTTTGGGAAAAGGTGCATGTCTTATGCCGGCAAATACAGCATGTCTGCTTTGTATGTAGAAAGTACATTTGTGGAATTTCTGACCTACAGATTTAATTTACAGAATCTAACTTAAAAGGAACATTTTTTAGCAGCCTGAATGATGATAAAACGCCATCAGAGAAGCTATAGAAATGCACATGACAGAAAGAGACTTGAAGATAGTTAGAGCCAGTTCCCCAGCTACTATAAAATAGTGAGGCTGAATTGTAATTGATGGTGCTTTATGGGTTTACACCAATTGAGGATCCACTTCTATTAACTAAAGTGTTTTCAGCTCCTAGAATGAGGGAAATGGATAGGAAGTGTGTGCCAGATAGCCATTGCAGCCGTTTTTGTCAAGGACATTTGCTTTTGAGCTCAAATATTGTTTAATAGTTTAGTGTGTTGCCATTCCTTAGGAATTTGAACAAGATGCTTCTAACTTCAAGCAACAAGTAGAAGATATGGACAGACGGCTGGGGACTATTTTCTGCCAGGCTTTTGATGATGCATCTGACTTGGAGCATGCTTTCAAGGTTTGTGTTGTAATGAGAGGCACTTTCTTGCAGGAAAAGCTCAAAATAAACTTCTCCTGTGTCTTTTCTCTGTGAGTGAAGGTTATGAGGATGATTTGTCTAAAATGCAAACCACTGTTTTAGCTGCTTGCACAATGGGTACTTTCTAAGGCCCCCTCAACACATGCAGGTAGAGGTACAATGGGATCTAATGTGTGATTCATAGAATAAGTAGTGTGGTGAAACCCCCTGGGGCTGCTGAAGGTTTCACACATCCCTGGGGTTGGGAGATCTCGCCTGTAATGATCCTCCCACCCCAGGGGTTTCATGTACCCCCAGGGTGGGGAGATTACCACAGCATTGATTCTAGGGGTTTGCCAGGAGGCATGCTGCAGGAACCCATCAGCTGTGGGCTAATGCCAGGACCCAGAGTCTGCAGATGCTGGAGCTGAGAGTCCTTAGCAGTTGTGGGACTTGCAGTCCTGGCTGGGCAAAGTGCACCCCTGCTGCTGGGAATCCTGTGAACTGATGGGACTCCCAGCTACAGGGAAGACCATGCTACATATGCAGATTAAAGCTTGATAGAGAACATATTTTTGAGGTCTATCTTTATAGTTGGTTAGAGCTTTTTATTTTGTGATAAGTACTGCAATTACTGAAATATAAGACAAAGCCCCCCCC